CATTCTAGGTATTTAACTTTCTATTTATGTTACTTCTAGCCTGACATGTTTGGACCCATGAAAAAAATCTTCTGTACAATTATGTGATATCCATTGTGTTTACTCTGATCACTCTTCTCTATGGGATTGTCATCTCCCTTCCCTTACTAAACCAGAAATTAAGCTACCTGCCCATTGTGTTCTTGAGATGAAACGGCCTACCTTGCGAGAGCCGTATACTCGATCTATTTTCCTAGCTCCCTCCTATTTCTTACATTTCAATTATTTTTCCTCTAGATACTTCTCTTGATTAATGTCGTTTTGATGCTGTCATCAGATGCCGTGGAGCCAGAAGATTTTGGACTGAGCAGTGACTTGCAATTCTTCAAGCCAGGGAATGTGTTCAAAGAGAATCCAAGGGTCACATACACAACCATTTACCAGTGCGATAATTTCTCTGTAAGTCTTGCAAGCTTGGCATGTTGAATCATATATAGAATGAGCTGGTTTAGATCAATCCTAACCCGATGATTATGAAAATACATAGAAAAAAAAAAAGTATCTAGGCATATCTATTTCTTCATATTTCAACTTCTATGAATTTTCTTTCTTGCTACAGCTGATAAAAATGGTTGTTTGGACGATATATATATATATATATATAGAAATCTTTTTTCTTTTTTAGCATTTATTAGCGGATTTGCTCTTTATTTTCTTTTTTTCTTTCTATAGTAGAGATAGTCGCACATCAATTTAATCTGTGAATATTTTTATTTACTCTTCTTTTGCATTTACAGCTCTGCATCTTCTTCCTGCCTGCAACGGGGGTGATTCCCCTCCATAACCACCCGGGAATGACTGTGTTCAGCAAGCTTCTGCTCGGAAAAATGCACATTAAATCCTACGACTTGGTTGATCCTATTCCTGAGACATGTGAGAATACGCCTCGACAATCTGAATGTGGGTATTCAAGTGACATCTCTCTCTCTCTCTCTCTCTCTCTGTGTGAACACACACGCACACATATAAAACTATGGGTTTTCATGTACTGGTCTTCTCGATCCGAGATCTAAACCGTTTGTTTGTTTTGTATCTGCAGTGAAGTTGGCCAAGTTAAAAGCTGACAAGGTCTTCAGTCCACCTTGTGAGACTTCAGTGTTGTACCCGACCACAGGAGGTAACATTCATGAATTCACAGCCGTCACTCCGTGTGCAGTGCTTGACGTGCTTGGCCCTCCTTATTCTAAACAAGATGGCCGCGACTGCTCCTATTACAGAGATCATCCTTGCGCTGCCTTTTCAAGTCAGTAATACTGTCCCATAGATTCTAGTCTATTCTTTTTTGATGATATATATATATATATATATATATCTGACTGGTATGGTACTGGTTTTTTATTTCTCTTGTAGATGGAGAGAACAAGGCGGTGGCGAAAGAGGAAAATACTTGTTATAGATGGTTGGAAGAGATTGAGATGCCAGAGAATTCTCAGATGGATGGGATTGAATACTTGGGACCCCCAATTATTGAACCTGCTAGTTAAATCATTTCAAAGCTATGCAGGAAGAATCCTAACCTGCTAGTTCTCTGTTGAGCGATCTTCATATATGTTTGGTGATAGAGATAATATTTTATTACGAATTTAGAGATGCATTCAAGCTTTGGTCTTCGTGAATCGCATCATGTCACCACCCTTGTGGGATCTATACTCTCAGATGTACATATCAACAGATCTCCTTCGCTTTAAGGAATTAGAATCTACTAGGCCACCACTTGTGTCAAAAGCTCTGATCTTTTAATTCCTAATTGCGAGCACACAACATTTTGAAACCTTTTATATAATACATTAAACCCAGGGACTCGAGTTTGTTAATCTGTTAATACTTGGCTTCAGCTAGATAATGTCCAAAATTGACTTGTTCGAGGGAATCATTTTAGGTGTAAATGGGTGCAGCAAGAAATAAAGTGGAACACGTTGTGTGTGTGTGTGTGTGTGTGTGGTATATATTTTTGGAGTCAAGATCGGAAATTGACTTCTATGGTGATGCGTTACGTTCTGCAGAATTTGTTGCTGAGGGCTAATTGGCTGGAAAAGAGAAGTGAAGTGGGGGTTAAAGCAGTGAAGAAAAATAGGGTAGATAACGTTCCAATAGGGCAAAGTCAATGATGATGGAGACGAGGTTAACTGTTAAAAGCTTGAAAATATCTGAGAGATAAGTAAATGTCAATAGTCAAATACCTTCTTCCATGAATGAAACGGTCCAGGATTCTCTCGCTGGTCGGTTCATGGCCCATCGGAATTTGCTTTTCTTGTATTTTAATGTAACATTGATTAATGTAGCGTTAATGGTATTCTTTTTTTGATGTAAAAGCGCTAATCGTATTCTGCTTACTCTTTTCTTCCATCGTCATACTCCCTCTTTTTTTTTTTATTATAAAAAAAAAATTGCCAGCTTAAAAAGTATTCTTTTTTTTCTAAAAGCAAAAGGTATTTCCAGTTTTATGTTATAAAATTTTAAAAGTGTTAATTGATATTTTTATATTTACATTTTATCTCTTTATTAAATACAAACAATTATAGAGAAGTAGGTCATGTAAGTTAATAACATAGTAGTAGTAAAAAATTTTAACATGTTACATTTTAATTTGTGAGCTAAAATCTTAAATTGCAAATAAAAAGACGTAGAGTGCCTTTTTTTTTTCGGGTGAATTATGCACTTGCGATGTCTATCTTTAATAGGAGGTTACATGCAAATAATAAAAATATTTATATTTTTTAATTGTAAATAAACTGAAAAATGTTATATATATAAAAGTGTTAACATTGCGTGATCTAATATCAAGTACACTGAATTATTGGTTTTTGTTTTTTAATCTGAGTGAATTAGTGTATTTTATTGGATATGGGCTAAGTGGGAACCCATTAATAAATTAAATCAAATGAAAATTTAAATAAATCAATATATTATAATCATTGCCATAAAATATAAAAATTTAAATAGAGCTATGGCTCCTCTCAGGTTTTGCGTAACTTTTTTAATTATTTAAAATTTATAATTTATATACACAATTTATAGAGCTTTGCACAATTTTGTTTCTATTCCTTCCATATTTCTTCGAGTGTTTAAATAAAGTTTGGATGTTTTTAATTGCATTTTTTGAAAAATAATTTCATTTCATTGATACTCAACTGTGGGAACGTTGGCCGAGCTAGTCCAGATTGTTTTTTCCAAGATCAACTCTGCATGACTCAAATCACCTTTTGGGCCAATGCCTCATTTCAGACTTCACATTTGCGCTTGAAGAGGTCCGTAAACGAAAAATGCATGAAATAATGCCCTCCCCGGCTCGAGTTAGGAACTCTATAAAGAAGATAATTATGAAGCCCATAGGGTTTTCATTCGGCCTGTTAAGTGGGAAGCCCACTATACGAGCCCATATGATGTTTAATATCAATTAGACTTCGGACATGCCATGAAACTATGTAATAAGCCATACATGACTTTAGCGTGGTGAAAATATCATTGACATATTATTAAATTATAAAATTAAAACTATTTCATATTAATTTGTTATTTAATTTTCATTCATGTATTATTTTATCACTCACTATCATGATCACTCAAGAAATCATATAAAATGAACTTCAATTACCAAGAGTTTCAAATTTGAACCTGGGAAAATTCCTCGGAAAATGATTCGCTCTTGAAGCCATGAAGGCAAAAGGCAAAAAGAAACACACGAGACAGGACCAATTTTTTTACCCTCTTCGTAACGGAATTCTCCATTCATTCTCTTTGTCGTATTACTTTTCTTTTCTTTATTCTAAAATATTTTTTAAATTTCTTACTTTTAAAATAATCAAGTTTAACAGTTTACTTGCTCGGTTGACCGTCACGATGCTAGTGCCACTTCTCGAGGTGGGTTATAAACCAAACAATTTTAAATAAAATTCATGTACTAAATTTTATATATTTAATATATTTTTATTTAATTAAATAAAGGCATGTAAATTTTAATTATGTTAACAATATTGATAACAAGAATTTGTTCATACAATAAATAATCTCTATAACATACATATGACTTGATGTAATTGGAAACAAGTATTATATAAAATTAAGTATGTAAATTTTTTTCATTTTAAACTTCTCAAAAAACATCCCAAGCGAGTACTAGAAATTAATTGCTCGAGGTCTGGGATTCCATTTATAGAGGTGACATCTCCCAACAACTTGATTGCCCTATAATGCATCAACAAGAAATACACTTAAAACTGTAATAAAAGCTGAATGCGCACGTGAACCTCACGTGTAGACAAATCACTGCACCTAAAGATGTGTTCATATCAAACTAAGGTTTTGCACTTTTGCCGTTAAATTTTCCCAAATAAGTGTCTGGGAGGAATGACACTTCTTCATCAAACCAGCACCGACAAAATAATCCCTTCTTTTCTTTGGGTCTAACCTAAAGTAGAAAAATAATCTGGTCAGATTTAGTTGCACATTTATCGTGATTAGAACTACAATACATAATAGTGCTTGATGGAGGGAGAGAAAAGGAAAAGAACAAGAAAAAGAAAAGCATTCAATTGACGAGTTAAGATTTTTGGCAGGTTGTAATTTTCATTTTATCTTCTGTAATGCTATCACAAAGATCCAACTTATACACTCCACCAGAACTGATCCCCAAAACCCCACCAAGAGAATTGAGTCCGTGATGATTTATAACATAATTTAAAATTTTAATTAATCTTGAGAAAGCAGTAAGATATTACTTCATATTTTAGCCATAGTTTTCGGAACACTCATCATTTTGTGGAAGGCTGGAAGCTTCCCTTTCGCCAACTTGTTTGTCTTTGATGCGAATTTCTCTGCTCTTCTGGGGAGAACGAACACGTACTTGACTCTATTAATGGGCATTACCCCCAAGTGAAAGAGAACCAAATAAATAAATAAAGGCGCCAAGAGCAAGAAATATAAAATGTGGAGCCATCCCTTAAAGTGAAGCGACAGAAAGATATGGCTTAGTGATCCCAGAAAGCGATAGTCCATGTTTAGTTGTTTACAGTCTCACACCCTGAGCCAAACCCACCTTCTGTTAGTTTCCTTTGAAATCATGAAAAAAATAAAGTGACAAAGTAAGCTGATTAACGAAATCTGCTGCTGGACTCCACATGTTCATGTCAAAGATGTCATCTCGAGGAATAAAGGGTCCCCCTTCCCTCCCGAATCTTCCTTTTTCTTTTCCTGCGGAAACTATTTTCTCTGCAAAGCAAAACAATTTCCCGGGAAATTAATGGAATACCAAGTTCGAGACTTTTCTGACTGGCAATGGTGAAATGTCGGTTGTTAGATGGTCCAGTAATCCAGTTCGTGCCTTTTGGCCCTATCTTTTCTTCCAACCCCTGGAGTGCTGACACCTGGGAAACTTGTTTCTTTGCGTCAGTAAGATTAGATCTCCAGACTTGGTATTCGTAGGTTGTTTTGATTATGGTACTCTTTCTTCAAACTGTAAACAGGAGCACAAAGAGACATGTTTGTACAGTTTTGACTTTTTGAATCTGGGTTGTTTTTACTACTCACTCACTGTGCTGTGTGCTCCAGAAAAGAAGAAGAATGCTTTAAGTTAGGATGAAGGTGGCTTGGAATAAGAGAAAACACTCTGCTTTAGGCCCTTACAAGCTGGGAAGAACCGTATTTGAACTCAGCACTCAAACTGATTTGTTCATCAACTCTGTTGAGGTAATTTCAACTAACTTATCCTGAACACGTTACGCGCTTGTTGGTTTTCCATAAAGTATGTTATTGCTTTGAGCCAATCATCAACCTTAGAGAGTTTTGGCCTTGGATTAACTCAAGACAAGTACTTTACTAAACCTACCTTGTTGCAATTGCAGGGTTTCTGCTCGTGTGATCTTGGAAAACCATGCTTGAATTTTGAGAGTATATGTGATATTGAGAATATATTTTCCTCAAGCACTTTCTAGAATACCACGAAACTCTAGATCATTTCCTGCGCACGCCCTACTAATGGCAGAAAAAATCCCTCCTTTGAACCTTCTGATTTTTGTGACACTTTTACTTTCTATAAATCATTCAGAGCAACTGCAATCCTCGATGCCCCAGACTCTTCTAAGAATCAAACGGCTTTTGAATTTTCCTTCTGCTTTAAGTAGCTGGAATAGCAGCACAGACTTCTGCAGCCCTGACTCAGATTCTTCTCTTACTGTTGTATGCTATGAAGATGCCATCACCCAGCTTCATATAATAGGTGAAAGGATAGCTTCGCCGCTTCCTAAAAATTTCTCAATAGATTCCTTTGTCGCAACGCTAGCCAGGCTTCCCCATTTGAAAGTCCTCACACTGGTTTCTCTTGGTATCTGGGGTCCACTTCCTGGTAAGATTGCTCGATTGTCATCACTGGAAATAGTTAATATGAGTTCAAATTTTCTATATGGTGTCATCCCTCAGGAGCTTTCGTTACTGTCAAATCTTCAGACACTCATTCTTGATGACAACAAGTTTTCTGGTGAGCTTCCAGATTGGCTTGATTCTCTTCCAGCCTTAACTGTGTTAAGTTTGAAAAATAATTTGTTCAATGGGTCTGTGCCTGATTCCTTGGGTAGCTTGGAAAATTTGAGAATTCTTTCACTTTCTCATAATCACTTCTATGGTGTAGTACCCGATTTAAGGCATTTGACAAATCTTCAAGTGCTGGAATTGGATGATAATGCTTTTGGACCTCTGTTTCCTCGACTTGGTGCCAAGTTGGTTGCTCTTGTACTGAGAAACAATATGTTCAGATCCAGTGTCCCAGCTGAAGTGACCAAGTTTTACCAGCTTGAAAGATTTGATATCTCATCAAATTCATTTGTGGGGCCATTCCACCCTGCATTGTTATCTCTTCCTTCTATCACTTATCTCAACATTTCTAGAAACCAACTCACCGGAATGCTTTTTGAAAACCTAACATGCAGTTCTGAACTCCAAGTTGTGGATCTTTCCTCGAATCTGTTGACTGGAAGCTTACCTGGATGTTTAGAGTCAAAAAGCAATAATAAGACTGTCCTTTATGCTAGAAATTGTCTGCAAGACATGAACCAAAATCAGCATCTACTTCCCTTTTGTCATACTGAGGCCTTAGCTGTGGGAATATTACCCGAGAGTAAGAAACGCAAGGATCAATCAAAGGTTGGCCTTTCTCTTGGGATAGTGGGCGGGATTCTTGGAGGAGTAGCGCTTCTTGCCTTGGTTTTTTTCATTATTAGAAGAGGAAATGTCAGAAGCAACGTTAAGAATCCCCCAACTAGATTAATGTCTGAGAGTGAAACTCCTAAATACCCATCTAAGCATCTTTCTGATGCAAGTAAGTCTCTTTTTCTCTCTCGTGAACTCAGCCCAAAAATTTGATGTCTGATTGATTGCAACTGAAAGAGCAATCAGAATGCTTATAAATTAGACTCTTCAATGCATAAATACTTTCATCTGTCTAATACATTTAAGATATATGGTGTAACCTTTCCTTTTCCCTGAACTTAAAGGATACATATCTCAAACAATGAAGTTGGCAACAGTAGGCCTGCCAAGTTATCGAACTTTCTCTCTGGAAGAAATTGTGGCAGCTACAAACAACTTTGACACATCTTCGTTCATGGGTGAAAGTTCTCAGGGACAGGTAACCCCCTCTGTTTTTTTACTGAGCTTGGTAAAGACCTGGCGTTCCTTTTGATTAAGATCTTTTCTGATTGGTTTTTTCACTCTAGTGGGTTTCGGATAACTTTCATTTTACTTGCTTATCACCAGTTCTTAGCTTATGTATACCTGATTTTGTGTTCTGGCAACATCAAGCTCAGGTCTTCTTGTTTTGGTTCTTCCTTTGGTTTCCAATAGTATGATAAACTGCAGTAGTAAAGTAATTTGGTCATGCAGCTATGATTAAAGTAATTTTGCGAAACTAGAAATTGTGAACCAATCATATGTGTGTTCAGGGCTTGTTTGGTTTGTGTTTTAAAAAATAAAAAATAAAAAACTTGTTTGGATAAGTATTTCAAACCTAATTGTTTATAAAATTATTCTCATCTCTTGTTTTTAAAAACAAAGAAATAGAAATATCTTAAAGCTGTTTCATTTTATTTTTCTTGTTTTCCAAATATATTACATTTAAGTATTAAAAATTATAGTTACAACAAAGAAAAAAAAAATTATAGCTACATTGACCAATGATTATCATAGGCCACCACAAATATCCATTAGTAATCATTAACATCAACCGATTTTTTAATTCTAAAATTGTTTTAAAATTAACACAACCAACATGCTTTCTTTTTATTTTGTTTTGAAAAATAATTTTAAAAATTGTATCGTAAAACAATTATTAAAAATAAAACATGAGAATAGAAGCCAAAGAGGCTCTTAACATGCGTGCATTGTATGTTCTTTTATTAAATAATGTCTCATTCTTTTATGTTCAGATGTATAGAGGCCGGCTGAGGGATGGTTTTCTTGTTGCTATAAGATGCGTGAAAATGAAAAAAAGATACAGCATTCATAACTTTATGCACCTCATAGAACTGATATCACAACTCCGGCATCGTCATTTAGTCTGTGCCCTAGGACACTGCTTTGAATATTATTTAGAAGATTCAACTGTCAGCAGACTATTTCTTGTCTTCGAATATGTGCCAAATGGCACACTCAAGAGCTGGATATCAGGTAATTCATTGAAACATCCTTTATAATGATGCTACATCATGAAATTGTAATTCTACTCCTGACACTATCCGTTCTGAATTTTCACTTTCTGTTCTTTATACTAATGCTAGCAGATGGGAGGTCAAGAAAATCACTTGGGTGGACCCAGCGCATAGAAGCTGCAATTGGAGTAGCAAAGGGTATCCAGTATTTACACACAGGAATTGTCCCTGGTGTATATTCAAACAATCTCAAGACAACAGATGTATTGCTGGATCAGAATCTTGGTGCAAAAATCTGCAGTTATAACCTGCCCTTTTTATCTGACATCAGAAAGGTATGAAGAAAATAATTATGCGTTTTTAGGGGGGCAAATCATGTTTTCCCAGCAGGTATGATCTTTTACTTTCTAGGAAAATGGCTTCAATTGGTTCTCACCAAAGCTTATTTTTGCAGGTTGGGCACGGAGCTTCCTCCAGTGGGTCAAAAAGTCCTGGCGTTAATAAAAGGTCCCCTATAGAAACTAATTTAGACTGCTTTTGAGTAAAGTGATTAAACAATTAATAACAAACGCAACACTTCTTTTAGATGAAAATGAGGAATCACAAACACTTACTCTCTCCGTCCTTATATATATAAAATATTTTTAACTAAATCATACAAACTAATAAAAATTAGTTATCTAATTAAAAGTATAGCAATATTCAAATTTTGCCTCTAATATTGTAAATAAAAAATAGTTTTTTTAAAAAAAAATAAATTAATGAGAGTACTTTTTATTTTCTCTTTCCAATTTAATAAGGGTATAATGGTCCATTCATTAAAAAATATGCTAACAACCTTTTATACTTAAGGATAAAAAAAAGTTTTAGAAGACTTCTCATGTATAGGGATGGAGGGAGTATCTTACAACATGGGAAGGTTTCATAGGAAAAATACTTGTGCTGCAATTATGTAAAATAATTATTGTCCATTAAATGAACTCTATTGTTTTGTAGCGCAAAACATGAAGATAAGTCAGATATCTACGACTTTGGAGCAATACTACAGGAAGTGATTCTGGGAAGGGCAGCAAAGTCAAGGAATGAAGCGGATGGCTTAAGGGTTCTGGTAATAACAAATTCTCTCTTCTCACCATTTCCCACCTTTCCGGATTCGCTTCTTGAAATTTAGATGATTCAGTGTTGGTATCACGAGGATGACCCTGAATCTTAAGTCAGAATCTCAGCCTTATCACTAAAGATAGAAATATACAGTATGTTTGAGCTTGTCGTACGCAAAAATATCAAATGAGAACAACAACAATAATAGAAGACAAACAATGTCCACACAGTAGAAGCAAGAAAAAAGAGAGATAGATATGTCACATGCGTATAATATTTATATTGATCTATTGCTCAATGTATCAGACTCCAGAATTAGAGAGACATAATAATTGAAATTCTCATAGGATTTGATGCCCTTTGGACGGTAAATGTCAGCATTTAGTTTTCTAGTACAAATCGTCAGCAAATTATTGTGGACTGCAATTAACTGGATCTCGTGGCAGTTTCATGCGAGCATAGTAGGTGATGAGGAAGCTAGAAGGAGCATTGTAGATGCTGGAGTTCGCAAGTCATGCTTGGATCAATCGTTGAAGACGATGATGGAGATATGTGCGAGGTGCCTGGCCAAAGATCCAGCAGAAAGGCCTTCCATCGAGGATGTTTTGTGGAACCTGCAGTTTGCCGCTCAGGTTCAGGATGCATGGCGAGGGGAATCTCAAAGCAGTGAGGGGTCTCCAGTCTCACCTTTTGAACCTCGACGACTCACCTTTCATTAGCATCAATCAAGTTTTTGTATATTAGTTTCACTGTGCCACAGGTTCATGTATCCCGCTTAGACTTCACCACTTGTTATAGCATACCAAAACAACAAAAGATCAGGAATGCTATGTTAGTTTGGCTTTATACTGAATCCTTATATAGAAGTGTTTTGTCCATTTTTCACTTTGGATCCCTTCAGTGGAGACTCCATGTTCGTTCGAGCCTCCTCAGTTCTTTCTCTTGTCTCATGGAGACTTTAACAATGACATCCTCCACCCTTGCCGTGCAAGCAACTTCAGAAATGCTTGTGATTATCTCTCCACTTAAACAGGCAGACATAGTACCAGAAGATATAATACGGCAAGCTCTCATAGGATTTCAAAGATATGAAGCATAAACTGCAACGCTAGTTGTAATTTCTATAACAAAGCATATTTTCAAATTGAATAGAAAGCGTGGGGCGCGAAATGATGAAAGTCATATTGGTAAATCCCTGTCTTAAGTGTTCTCTGAGGGCAGTGTTCCAAAGCAAGAAGAACTACCGCAAAAACATGGCAAACCCACAGGTCTTGTCCTGATTTCTCCATAGCTAAAAGTAAGCTCTCCATCTTTTTCTATATCTTCTAAGGCAAAGAAACACAGTTGAGGAAACAAAGCTCCCGACCTTCTCACTAGTTTTGAGCTTAAATTACCACCATCACAAGAATGATTAATGAACCGTGCAATATTTCCTATTCTTGTGGCATCAATATTCATCCTCAAACAAGTCCTTCCAGACGGCAGATGCTCCCTCACAACCAAAAGAGCAGAAGAAAACTGACCTTGTGATGAAAGTTCATCATAACATCGATGTCTCCTCCTCGCTTCCTTGGTTGTCAAGAGTTCACCTTTATATAATATGAAACCAAACATCAATCTTACATGCAGATGAATAAAGCCATGCATGGACACACAAGCAGAAGATATTTCAATCAGTTCACCTTAGCAGGCTCAAGAAATTAGGTTCTATCAATATTCACACAAACTTTCTTTGTACATGTATCTAACAAATAATGGGAAAGTTTAAATATTGTACTTCTCTATTCTAAGAATTTATCCATATAAATAATTCTCTGGCAAACACTTGTGCCATAGCCCTCTGCTGAAACGGCATTCAGAAGGAGATGGTCACATTATTGCATGCTTCCCTTTGTAATTCGATAGCACTCTTCTCCAAGGGGTTAACTTTCTAAGGTAGCCAAGCAACATAAATTGTGTACAACCAATTACTTTGTCCCGTAACGTTTTTTTCGTTTCAACCAAATGGCCAAAAAAAAAATGTAAAATCAATTCCACCGAAATTAACGGAATGAAGCAAACAAACTTGTAATAATATATACCTGCATATTCACATACGAACTGCCCTTTCTGTATCAATTGCTCCGCAAACAAACCCCATCCTTTCCTCCTATCCCTCACGATTTTCAACCGAACCGGAATCCCCTTCTGACTCAACCGGTTCCCACACTCCAACCGGCACTTACAACTCGGCCCGCACTCGTTAGCCACATCCAACCCGGCCAAGCTCGAACAAGGACACCTGTCACCTTCATCTCCTACATCCCCACAAGTGTCACAGTCACAACCTGATACACTCTGACCCTCTTCATCAACTAAATTCACCGATTCCATGGCGAGCTTACCAACCCTGTCACGGGTGGCAGCAAAATTCAAGCCCCAAGGTTGACGAAGAAATTGTGAATCAGAAGGTAGAATTAGGGAAGGAGTGTAGATGAAGAAAGCATATGGCGTATCGTCGACGGTGTTGCGAAATGGAATAGCCAAATTCTCAAATCCTCTTGAAGAATCAGATACTCGGCGGAGGGTGATGGTCTTGGAAATTAGGGAAAAGGATTTGCAGGTCAAAGAGACATTGGCAAGCTCCAAAGGGGTTAGCCATGGGAGGATGAGTTCTGCGCATTGAAGGAACAGAGGCTTTTTGTCGCCTTCCTCTTCTTCATTGGACTTGCAGGATTTGGAAACGGGCTCCACGTCCCACATCAGAGGCATTCCTCCACAATCCCTTTCTGCAAGTTGCCCTTTTGAGACTGATTTATTCGGCATAATTATTTTGTCAGGAAGGATTCAAACGGTGAGAGGAAAGAATCACAACTTCAAAAACCTAACGCGCCTTCGATTGGTTAGTGGGCGATAATTCTCCCCAAAACCAAAAACAAAAAAGAAACTGTACTTCACCCTCCAATTTCAGGTGTGTGTAGACCACAAGGTTGTACGCATAGCTGCGCGGTTTCCTATGGGATTTTTTTTTCTAAATAATCTTCTCACTCATGTCCATGCATATTCCATTTTTCTGATTTTCATCTGAAAACTCAATTCTCAAAATTTAACCCATTCACCCCCCCCACCCCCTACAAAAGAAGAAGAAGAAGAAGTTATTTAATTTAATTTGCCTGGTTCTTTGGTTTCCAGTGTATTTTAATTTAATTTTTGATTGGTTATTTTAATTATTTTAATTTATAATAAATGGAGTCATTTTTAAAAAATAGTTAAACATTTATAATTTAAACAATAAAAATAAAAATAAATTATTATTTAAATTTCAATGTTAGATTTTTTGGCAAAAAAGTGCTGTTTGTTTTTTTAAAGAAATTTACTCTTAATCTAACCTTTCATTTTTTTTTGTGGGGACCATGCTAACCCTTCATTGTAAAAAAAGGAGACTCACTGTCACGGGCTGAGAGTCTGGCGTAGCACACGGCGCCCGTGCGGCGTCCTGGAGGATCCCATAATCCTCAGGACAAGCCTTATCACGTACGGATCACACTGGTTTCGCCCTGCCATGGGCTCATCAGGGAGGCGGCACTAGCCCCCGACCAGTTGTGCACACAGTCCGAAGACTGAGGCAGAACACCCCCAATGCTAATGTCGCCCCCTTTACCCATATTGTGCGAGGCTAACCAGCGGACCGTTCATTATCTTGGTCTTTACACGGTCACGGAAATATCATCCGTGACATTCTCCCACACCCAATCTAGCACGCCCTCGTGCTAGGAGAGAACGACTCTGCCCAAAGATCGTACGTACAGTACAGCCACAAACACACCAGCTTACTTGCTGAATGACCACCCGAGTCCTGCACTCTTCGGACCCACTCGCACCCGCGAGCCAACAGGAGTGGAGTCGACAACGGCCAACCTTCCCGCCCGAGTCCCCACTTTTGGACCCACCTGCTCGGAGGCCTTTCTGGAGCGATGCCGAGGCCGACCAGTCCCAACGTGGGACCCCACGTGCACACGGCAGTAAAGTACGTCCTGCTCTGACACCACTCTGTCACGGGCTGAGAGTCTGGCGCAGCACACGGCGCCCGTGTGGCGTCCTGGAGGACCCCATAATCCTCAGGACAAGCCTTACCACGTACGGATCACACTGGTTTCGCTTTGCCATGGGCTCATCAGGGAGGCGGCACTAGCCCCCGACCAGTTGTGCACACAGTCCGAAGATTGAGGCAGAACACCCCCAATACTAATGTCGCCCCCTTTACCCATATTGTGCGAGGCTAACCAGCGGACCATTCATTATCTTGGTCTTTACACGGTCACGAAAATATCATCCGTGACATCACGCTCTTATGTGCATCTGCATATAACATCACCGTGCTGAAACATTATTATTAGTATTATTATTATTTTAAAATACTGCTTGACGCTTGAGATTTAGAAACCAAGTTATATTTTTGTTCATTACAATTTTTTTTGGCCTTATGAGTATTAAATTGGGTCAAGGCACAGTGACGGTATACCTAGGAGTAGAATAACTAAAATGTATTTTTATTTTTATATCTTTCTTTACGAAGTGCTGAGTATTTTATATTAATAGATAAAGTCTTTTTTTACATCATTTTTTAAAAAACAAAAATCTCCCTCCATTGACGATCACTAATGGGTGGGATTTTTATTCCTCTAAAAAATAATTTAAAAAAATATTTTTAATTAATATAAAATACCAAGCACTTCTTAAGTGAAAGTATGGAAAAAAAATATTTAACTCGTATTTTTATTCTCTACATATATCTTTTCATCAAAGTTATTGAAAAGCATTAAATGTACACTCTTCTTTTAATAAAAATTTAAATTTAAATTTCGAGAGGTTAGTTCTTTGCGTTACACCTAACCCCTGTTGTAGTGTTGTATTAGAATGCTCATTTTGACCGTTAAAAAAAAAGAAGAAGGCTTTTTTTAAAATAAGGAATACCTGTTCTCGATGATGAATTTGGGCCTCCGGTCAAAAACTGAACAATGAACTCGGGCCTCAAATTCAAGATGTGGAGAATGGGACATAAATTCTGGGGGGAAAAAAAAAGAAAAGAGTATAAGACGTAAATTTTTCAAATTTATTTTGTTTATATTATATTTTGGCCCCGGTTTTTGTTTTCCCATTTGATCCGCTGCCCTCGACCTCTGGGAGAGGGAGACGCCACGGCCATAACCCTCGAGTTCATTTCCAAAACCCCTCTTAAGCCCACGCTGCCTTGGTTGTCCAGTAAAGTGCAGCAAACTATGTATCTTTCGCGGCGAATACTCTCCAAAGCCTCGCATCTCCGTCACTTCTCACAAGCCGCCGTAGCCGTGGTCCACCAAGAACCTCTTGACCTCCCACCATTCACGTATCTCGAGGGTTTTCCGAAGCCCGACTCCAGATACGCTGAGACGATCCTTGCTATACCTCGCTCCACTTCAGGAAGTATCATTTCTGCCAAAGAGCGCAAGGCTGGACGAGTTCCCAGCATCGTCTTCGAGCAAGAGGATGGCCAGCACGGGGGCAACAAGCGCCTCATTTCCGTCCGTACCAATCAGATCCGAAAGCTCGTCAACCATCTCGGTCGATCCTTCTTTTTGTCCAGACTCTTTGACCTGGAGGTTCGGACGGAGTTCGAGTCTGAAGAGATTGTAGAAAAGATTCGTGTTTTGCCCAGGCTGGTAATGTTTCGGAGTCACTTATTTGCTGGCTATATGCCTGTATAAAACTTTGAATTTGAATTTCTTAATGAAAAGATATTGAAATGATTCACATGCCTTTCTTGAGGAATTAGAGAGTGAAGGATTATTGCTGAGTTTGCTTTCCTCAACATTGTAGTAGAACATTGGGGGGAAGGATTTATTATATGAAGTGTCGTTGCATTTCCTTGATCGAGTATGATTACTTTTGGATTCATCACTTTTCAGAGACCTAATCAGGGGTTGTCATTCCATCATTTTTATTTCCTGGACTTCTAATATGAATACTGAGAGACAAGTTTGTTGATCCAGTCATGCTCTTAACAGTACGATTGCTCCTTAGGCACGGCAACCTTATGGGCATTTAGTTGTATCTGTGATGATGATAGGCACAGGTGTATTATGCTTGTCTTCGAAATAGATTTTGTTTACTTTTTCTCTTGAAAGACAGTCTTGGAGCAGTCTCTTCCCATGTAGGTAGTGCCTGTCCATTCTTTGGTTTTGCTTGTATAGTACGAGAAAATAACTGGATGTTTCTCTTCTTCTTGTTTTTGTTTGAGCCAAGGTTGTTTCTCTTCATTAAATCCATTTATGAATACATATGTATACTGTACGTTCACTTTGAAATTGGTGACTTGTTCTTTACTCTATCCTTCGGAAACTTTTCAGCTTCACCTGCATGCAGGCAGTGATGAACCGTTAAATGTCACATTCATAAGGGCTCCATCATATGCTTTTTTGAAAGTTAACGTTCCTCTTGTATTCAGAGGAGAAGATGTGTCCCCTGGATTGAAGAAAGGTAACTCCCCATGGAACACACTTTGCAGTTATTCCCCCCCCCCTCTATGATATCATGGCAGCACTTTATGACTACTTCTTTCCTTTTCTATTTTTTTTTCCCCGGCGTCATACTATGTTGACTTGTTTTCTCATCTTTGCATCATCTTTTGAGGCAAGAAAGAAAGGAATTGAGCCTTGTAATTTAGCTGGACAAGACAACTATACTGGCCCATATTGGTTCAATTATGCATGATGGTAAAGGGAAATGAATTTTATGAGAATTTCATGTTGTGAATTCAAATGAATTTTGTGAAAATGTCAAGTTGTGCCTGTGTTTTGTATGGCTTAAGCATTAGTTTTATCCATGGAATTTATAATATGCTTATCTAGCATTAATATGATAGCTCTAGTTGTGATTTTTCTTAATCAGGATTTGCTTAGATCAGTATGTAGCATGTACGGAACAGTAAGAGGATGGAGAGTTATTCGCTGACCTTTATCATTGAGCATTTTCTTTATGTCCTAAGCCTTCATTGCTACTAAGACACAACCCTTTTGTGATTGTTTTGAACTTTAGGAACTACCGCATAACTTGTTGATGGCTTTTCCACATGGACTGGATCACCATTGACCTCCACACAAATCACCTTAATGCTTATTGGAGCTAACTCTATTCACTGAAGCATGTGAGCGTGTGTTGCTCCTTTTTTTTTTTTTTTTAAATACTACTATCTTTCTAGGACTCGTATGTTAATCAAGATGATCTCAAACAATTGCAAATTTCTCAAAGGATGAAACCAGATAGAGGCTATTTGCCCTGTACTGGTCCTAACCCAAAGGCTTGGTTGTTGATATGGTACAATGATATTGTACAATCCATTAGTCGATCCCATTTAATAGGATAAGGCTTCTTGATGTTGTATTCTTTAAGAATGTCTTGGTCTTGAAACTCTACATCACTAGTGATCAGTGATAGAAGCATATCCATGCATTTGACTAGTGAGATTTGAGATCTTGTTCAACAAACATATCCCATGGTTCAAGATGCATTACAAATTTATAAGATTTAAACTCCTAGTGAAACAAGTTAGACTTCAAATTTTTCTGAACATAGGAATAATGCCAATAATTTTTTTTAACTCAGTTTTTTCCTTCACTTTGTTGAGCATGAAATTCCTGTGTGCAAATTTGCAGGTGCTTATTTGAATACCATCAAGAGGACTGTCAAGTACCTATGCCCCGCAGATATCATCCCTCCATATATCGATGTGGACTTGAGTGAGTTAGATGTGGGACAGAAGTTAGTTATGGGGGACCTCATGGTTCATCCTGCACTAAAACTTCTTCAGTCAAAACACGAACCTGTTTGTAAAATTATGGGTCAAAGGGTCTCTGAGCAAAGGAAATCTAAATAACTGCTTTTTATTTCCGGCAGTTGATACTGCTGCAGAGGGGCATTTTGTAGCTAACCTGTACAATCCTTGCTCATTATATTGGTTGATTCTTGGTAGCAGTGAAGGGGACACAGAATTTCAGTGCAAGCTATTTCTTCCTTCCCGTTTCTGCGTTCTTTCGGATTCTTACCTTTTCCCAGCCTCCAATTCTCTCTGTTGCGTCTTTTGGCCGAAATGAGGACACTGGGGATGAGAAAAGGGGAATTCGGGCTTTGGCTATTTCAATCCATTATAGATGTTACTGTACTGGGACCGATAGAAGCAGAGAACTGTCAGGAAGTACTTATTAATTAATAATCAGCTCAGGCTGGTCTAATATTAAATCTTTCTGATGCATTTTGTATTATTGAAATTCTTCATTTGATTAGAAGTGCTGTTTTTAGGTATTGGACTCTTACTGTTGGTCCAAGAAAAAACAATATCTGTGTTTTGGCAGAGTCACGACAATTCTAATTATCCTTCGAAGCAGTTCCACAATCTGGACATAAAGGGCGTTTGGTTAATGGGAAGGAAAGGAATGCGATGATAGTAAGCACAATGGACTAAAATAATATTATTTATTGATAAAGAGATGGAAACTATAGAGATTTGAGGGCCTTGAAATGATAGAAAGATGAGAATGGAAATTAATGACTTCATCTATGGCAATCTCCATTCTTACCCCACTTACTCCATAATTTTAATTTCTCTATTGTCTCAATTATACTTTAGATCATTTTGTTATCTATAAATCATTCTGTTCCTCTCCAATAACTAGGGCCCTATATTCAATCTTTGTCCCTCACCTTTTTTATTGTGATTGCTCATAGGTATTTTTTTTATTCAAGATAATTTTATTCGAGACACAATTGGTTACTAAATATAAGTATTTATTTTAATAGGGATTCCATTCTTGATTTGTCATATTATAAGAAACTAATTCTTTTCATTAAATTTAATCTCCATTGATTTTCCCTCACCTTGATAGTGTAATACAAGGGGGGAAGTAAGGGATGAATATTCTATTTTATGAAATTAATAATTTGTTTTTTGAGTAAAATAATTTATTTGAAATTAGTAAATTATGCCTTGAAACTTCGAAGCAGTCAATTTGGATTTTGGACATTAAATTCATTCTTCCTCCCCCAACACATTAGTGTAATAAAAGAAGGGAAGTAACGAATGAATATTCTATTATATGAAATTAATAATTTGTTTTTCAAGTAAAGTAATTTATTTGAAATTAATAAATTATTTTTATTCAAACTTAATAAATTGATGATTATAGTGGATTGAAATGCCAAAAATATATTAATATAGAATTTAAATTTTGTACAATTAATAGGAAAGATGTAACTTTTACTCTTGGAACTTCTTTTTTTTAAAAAAACTAAGCACAGGAATTTTTTTATTGAGAGCAATTATGTTATCAATTTAGTTATTAAAATTTGACTCATTATAACTTAGATATTTTAATTTATTGAGTTATAGGGTTATGGAAATTAAGTTGTCTTAAGTTAATATATTATATTTTATAAGGATTGAATTGTTATTAGTTAAAAAATATAAGAATTAATTGTTTTAGTTGAAATTTAAAAATTGAATTAATAATTAAAAAAGTTGAGCGATCAAAAGTTATATTTTTGAAAGATATATTATTTATGATTCATAAATAATATGATCCATGTTATGGAAGTTGATGTTAATAGGGGGGAGAGGGATGCATGTCAAGCCGATAGATGCTGGTAAAAAAAAAAAAGGGTCAAGTTGAAAAATGGAAGTGGCATTTGATGGATGATCAGGATTTGTCACAAAAGTAAGAAGCCCGACAATACTGGCCGCTTATCTTTTTAGGCCACAGCACACCATTGACTTATGTTCCAAGTAAAATGTAGGATATTGACTTGTTCATTCGACAGTTTTTTTTTTTTTTTTGGCCTGAGTTCCTTGGACAGTTTCACGTGATAAAAAATTGTATTTAAGAATTATGACTCATGAGTAATGTAAATTTTTAATATATTTTATTTAATATTTAAATTATGGTATTATATAAAAATTATAAAGTAAGTCCCTACTGCCGCCAATCTTTGATAAACGGATCATTTTTATCACATATCTGAGGAAGATACACTAACGCTATAGATGAATAGCACAATTTAGTATCAATTGTATATCTTAATTAATATAACATTAGACGTTAAAAACAATTTAGTATGGAAGCTTAAGTTCCTTTTTTTTTTTTCCTTGAGAAATTAGGCAGATCTATCATCTATGTATTATCACATGGATAAACATATATAAATTATACTATCTATAATCAATAGAAGAGTTTTATATTTTTACTAAAAAAGATATATTTGATTATGATAATTTTTTTTTTCATATCTTAAAATCAAAATTAGAGGATTTTTTTATCTAATTTTATATTATTATTTTTATCAAGTCAAATTCAATTTATATACATACACGTTGTCTGGTAAGTTTATGGAAAGGAAATTCCCAGCAATTATAAAAGCTTTGAAGAAAAGGAAGAGACATTCGTAAACAAGAGCGTCATTAGCTCGCCTAGGGATCCAATTCCGTCGTGGCTTGATGATCTTGGTCGTACCAGATTGGACAACATGAACTCGCCGGGAAGGAGCAGGAGCAGGAACATTTTGGTCTCGCCCACTAGCTCCCGCTCGGTGACCGAGACCGTCAATGGCTCGCATAACTTTGTAATCAAAGGCTACTCTCTCGCCAAAGGTATCGGTGTTGGGAAGCACATAGCTAGCGAGAATTTCACCGTCGGAGGTTACCAATGGGCCATTTATTTCTATCCCGACGGGAAGAATCCTGAGGATAATTCCACGTACGTTTCGGTGTTCATTGCGCTTGCGAGCGAGGGTACTGATGTGCGAGCGCTGTTTGAGCTGACTTTGGTGGACCAGAGTGGAAATGGAAAGCATAAAGTTCATAGCCACTTCGATCGATCGCTTGAAAGTGGGCCTTATACTCTCAAGTACAGAGGCAGCATGTGGTGAGTTTTTCTTTTAGGATTTAAAAATTTTGATTGCTTTCCTCAGGATGTTGTATTTCCTTGGCATGATACCGTTTCTTTTTGTTAGCTGGAAATAATGTTTGGAAATTTGTGAGGAAATTGCTAATTACTGTTAAATATGCGATGGTTTAGATTATGTGTTTGAAGAGTCAACATTTTTATGCGCTGGATTTCGTGTAAGTTTTTTATTGTCCATTTTGGAGGTCTGATTACGTCCTTCGAAAATGGTAAATATGCACCAGGTTAATACAATGACACCAAAGCATCATATGGCCCATATAAATGTTATGTGCACTTGCTAGATGCCTTCTTTTATTTTCTATTGCCCTGTGGATTTTCCTTGTTGTTGAAGGAAGGCATTCTTAATTTCCTCTTAATATGCTATCATTTCGTTGGAATTTCTTGGTGTCAACATTCTTCAGGAATGGTGTTGACGTGTAGTTAATTTCCCAGGGATGTGTTGTTTCCAATTTTGGTCATAGATTGTAGACTTGCCATTTGCAACAGGAATTATAACTGTTGGACGTGCATGCACGAATCTGTTGTGTTGCTAGCAGTAATCTGTTTTTACTGTGAGTTTTTAAGACGGCATGGTGCATCCAAATGTAACACGTTCATAAACAATTCCGTTCATTTTTTAATTCCTAATATACCTTAACTCCGCAAAGTGACCAATATAATTTAACTCTACAAAATGACTGATATGCTGCTAGCCTTTGTCTTTTAGGGGCTATAAGCGTTTTTTCAAACGAGCTCAGCTGGAGGCATCGACTTTCCTTAAAGATGACTGCTTGAAGATAAATTGTACTGTTGGTGTTGTGGTTTCATCCATAGATTGTTCAAAATTAAACACAGTACAGGTTCCTGAGTCTGATATTGGAGCACATTTTGGCATGCTATTAGAGAATGAGGAAGGATCAGATGTTACATTCTCTGTTTCTGGGGAAAAGTTTCATGCACATAAGCTTGTATTGGCTGCTCGTTCTACTCAATTTGAGACTGAATTTTTCAATAAGATGGAGGAAGATGATCAAGAAATCATTATTACTGATATGGAACCTAAGGTTTTCCGGGTAAGCACACTTGAAAATGTCTTTTCCTATCTCTTGTCTTCTATTTATTTTGTTTTCTGGTTGCTTGCAAATTCATTAGTGCTGCATATCCTTCACCTAGTTCTCTAATGTTTCTTGAGCCCTATTGTTGAGCAGGCACTACTTCATTTTATCTATAAAGATACTCTTATAGAAGATGAAGAGCTCTTCACGTCATATTCATCACTCTTGCCATCAGTATCTGACACATTTGCTGCAAAGTTGTTAGCTGCTGCAGAAAAGTATGGCTTGCCAAGACTTAAACTGTTGTGTGAGTCCATGCTTTGCAAAGACATTTCTATAAGTTCTGTTGCATGTATTCTTGCCCTTGCTGATCGTTATCATGCAACAGAGCTAAAGTCCATTTGTCTAAAATTTGCTGCTGAGAACCTTGTTGGTGAGTTTTCCTACTTAACCTTCCAACCCTAGGCTAGATTTAAAACCTGTATTTGGCTATTTTTGAGCATCTAATATCTTGGTATCCTCTTTTGTAGTTTATATTTTTCTTCAATGATTTTATAATGTAGTGTTTATATTTATGTACCTTATGATATACATTCTGTGAACTCTGGGCACACTTGATGGTTATATTCTCTACAATTTGCATGCACTTTTCTCTTGTACTTTATTTCATTGCTGGATGCTAATGTTCTAAAAATTAGCTTCTTTTGAAGATTTTCCTTGACAATGAGGCAAATTGAATGGATAGTTCTCATTTTTGTTGTCTTATATTTTGTTCTTATTTTTTGGTATTTAGATGCTCGCAGGATAGGACGGACCATGAACTAAACCCTGAACCTCCCCCCCCCCCAAACAAAAGGGAACAAAAGTTGATTGCATAGTAACATGTTTATCACCACATTTTATCACCAGGAAGAAAAGGTACTTGCTGCCACTAGCTGGATTGCTGGAGTCATTGGGTTATGCCCGCAACCTATCAGTTGGTATCCCAGAAATTTAGGACTTTGATATTTTCCAAAGTTTACTGCTCATAATATAAAGGAATGGGGAGTGATAGAAGTAGAAATAGACTTGCTGATATTTTTTTGGGAAAAACATAACTTTGAGTCCTTGCAATTTCCTTACGTTTTGCTATAGGGTCTTGCACTTTTTTTTCCCAATGTTCTAGGTCCCTACACTTTTGTTTTTCGGTACAAAGTGTAGGGACCTTGGAAGGATTTAGAACACCAAAAAACAAAAGTGTAGGAACCTAGAATGCCACAAAA